CTTCTTCTTCTTCTTTTTTTTTTTAAGATTTATTTATTTATTTGTGCACACAGAACTGGGGTACGGGCCAGAGGTGTGGTTGGTGAGAGGACTCACCAGAGACAGCGTGGGGAGAAGAACAGGCAATCGACTGAAACGCACCGCTGAGGGGAGCAGCAGGTGGGTCAGGAGAGGGCTGCCGCGCCCTGTGCGTCAGCTCCCCTGCCGGGAGTCGAACTCGTGATGCATTGGTTTCAGAGAGCTCTATAATGCTGTTTTAACCTGTTGCGCCACCAGGGAGAGCCCTCATACTTCTTAAGGAGCATCCCCGGTTGCCATAACTACAACCTGAAGATGCCAGCCTAGAGAGGATGTGGCTGGGTGGGAGCTTCCTGAGCTTCAGCTCAGCATGAGCGAGCCCAGGCTGACTGGTTCTGCAGAGGGAGGGGAGGCCGCTTCCTGGCGGGCAGGGGACGCTGCCAAGCCCTGGCCTGGGCCTCCAGGAGTCAGCTACTCGGCAAGCAGCCCGCGTTGTGCCTAGAGGGACCCCAGCCAGCGGACGGGACAGGAGATGGGTTATCAGTCATCGTGGGGGGGCCCCGCCAGGAACGAGGGGCAGCGGGATTCTGCGGTCAGCACGGCAGCCCCATCTCTGTACATCCTCTTTGCCCTGAACCTCGGTTTCTTCAACTGTGAAAGGCGGGTGCAAAACAAACAGCCGCTCGTGGAATACAATGCCCTGTCAGGAGACGAGCGCAATGTTTTGCTTGAGACACTGGAAGCTGGGCCGATGCTGATGCCAGACAGGACACTTTGGCCGGCGTGAGACATGGAGAGTTAGAAAAGGGGGTGGGGGGTGAGGAAGCCTGCCCCGGGGTGCCGTTCATTATCGGGTGTCAGTGCTCAGCCGCGGCCAGGCCAGGCATCGTTCTCCAGAGCAGCCCCTAACCTCTTTTTCCAAGAGGAGAGGTCAGCTTTTGATGAGGATGCCGCTGCAGAGCCCCGAGCTAAGAGGGGGACCCTCATTCTCTCCCCAGTACTGAGCCTTGGGGGCAGGTCAAACAGGAGCTGCCCAGCTGGCCATGCCACCAAGGGTGATGAGACAGAAGAGCAGGTCAGCCACAGGACCACCCCCAGCGGGAAAGGCAGGCTCTGGGGTGACCGGGAGCCGGTGGTCTGGAGACCCCACCCTGTCCCCTACTAGCCAGCGCCAGACTCCTGCATCGGCGCTCAGTGCCATCCCGCTCCCGCCGAGGGCCCCCGAACGCCCTGGCCGGGGTCCAGCCAGGGCCCCGGGCTCCTCTGGCTCCCCGTGGCTCAGGCTGGCTGTTCCCATGGGCTCCACGGGGCTCCCGCTCACCCACAGCCTCTTCCTTCCTCTCCAGCATTGAGCACGTTAGACAGTCTTCACCACGTAACGGCGCTGTCCCCTTGTTTCGGAAGAGTCTGGAAACTTCTACTATGTTTCACATGAGACACTGGTAAGGCCCCTTCCCTCCGAAGCCCACTTGACCGTGCAGGCCTGCTCTGCCCACAGGGCCCCTCTGGCCTCTGGTGCTGGCCGACTCCCTACAGAGCCCCTGCGTGCATGCTGAGAAAGCCCCGGGGCTCAGCGACTCTCGGGCAGCTCTGTGGAGGCCTGGCGGCGGGGAGGCTGCAGCCCTGGCGCAGCCTCAGAAACGGCACTTCTCCGGCTGGGCTGGGCTCCTTCTCCTTTCCCCCAGCGTCCCCTCCACTGCATGCACCATGTGCATTCTGCGCTCTGCCACTGATGACGAGGAGCAAAAGGAAAGGTCTTCGTTACATGGTCTTTGGGAGAATGTTTTTTCTTGGTAGTTGATTACAGAAATGGCTGCAGAGAAGGTTAAGCAAGCTGCCAGTGAAGCCACAAGAGGACATTTCTAGTATCAGGATGCCAGGCTGGGTGTGAAGCGGTTTCTCAGCTGGGCCTCCAAGAGGCCCGTCACACAGGCAGGCGGCGAGGGCCAGGGCGATCGGGCGGAGAAGCCTGCCCCCCGCTGCTCTCCCGGAGC